TGAGAGGGGGCAAGGAGGACAGCAGTGGTTAATGTGGCTGAAGATGCTGGACCAGGAGGAGGATGGCGGCTTTGAGTTTGTGTGCTGCTTGTACTCATGTTTTGATCCCATATGCGTTTGTGATGTGCGATCATGTGCCTTCGCAAAGCAGTTGTACCTACGTGAGTGTTGGACTTCCCACGACTCAGTTTCTTTTGGCACAGGTTGCAAATGGCATCGCTGTTTTCAGAGGCAGACACACAAAAAAAATGCCACACTGCTGAGCTCTGCAATGACGGCATTCTGGTGGTGGTAACAGCATGCGTTGATTGGCGTGCTGTCTGGCTGACCCCGGGTGCCGATGTATGCTGTCTGACTGTGCCACTAGCTCCTTGCGACGACCTCCCTGAAACTGACTGCTATTATATTACAGTCCAAAAAGTTTTGGGTTTTTTTAAATGCAAGCTATTGGGACACCAGTGAGTGAGTGGTGGCACTGGGCAGGCCCTGAAATGCACACTTGTGAAGGAAACTGACTGCTATTATATTACAGTCCAAAAAGTTTTGTTTTTTTTAAATGCAAGCTATTGTGACACCAGTGAGTGAGTGGTGGCACTGGGCAGGCCCTGAAACGCTCACTCGTGAAGGAAACTGACTGCTATCATATTACAGTCCAAAAGGTTTTGGGTTTTTTAAATGCAAGCTATTGGGACACCAGTGAGTGAGTGGTGGCACTGGGCAAGTGGGCACAGTATATGCTGTGAGCCTGACACACAGGCTGGCAGGCAGGCAACTGCAATTACATTACACAGAAAAAAAAAGCAGACTGATGTTCCAGCCCTAAAAAGGGCTTTTTGGGGTGCTGTCCTTGCAGCAGAGATCAGATGAGTCCTTCAGGACTGTAGTGGACACTGTATACACTAGCCTAGCTATCAATTTCCCTATAAAATCAGCAGCAGCTACACTGTCCCTCCTCTCACTAAGAATGCAGCTTCACAATGAATGTAAAATTGATGCTGTCCAGGAGGTGGGAGGGTCTGGGAGGGAGGGTCTGCTGCTGATTGGCTGGAATGTGTCTGCTGACTGTGATGTACAGGGTCAAAGTTTTCTCAATGATGACAAATAGGGGGGCGGACCGAACAGCGCATATGTTCGCCATCCGTGGCGAACGCGAAGAATCGATGTTCGCCAGGAACTATTCGCCAGCGAACCGTTCGGGACATCACTATTGAGGATTCTTTGTCATCTCTAGAAACCTGATATGCGTACAATCAATACATATTTGTGAGTGCAACTTTGAAATCAACACTGTATTGTTTGTTAACTATATTACCCTATGAGATTTTTGTTTTTTCCCTTCACTGTAGATTTTTCTGTTTACATATTTTATGAGGACTGGGAGGAGTCCTGTAATATTTTCTACAGTTTGGAAGATAACCTTATAGGTATATTACCTTATAGGTTTTATCCACCTATTGGTGTGTGTTTTTCCACTTTAAGAATAAAGGGTGCTACTCTACATTATAAAGTTAAGTGTAATACGTTTTTTTTTTTTGTTTTTTTTAGCTTTTTTGATTTCTTACCATGTTTCAGTAGATAGTAACAGATTTTAGCAGGAAATAACATTCTAATTAGAAATGTAGTATAAAGTAATATCTGAAACAGAAGTATAATTTTAATTAATGAATTAATTATATAAAAATACTAGATAAAATAAATCAATAAATAAATCCATTGTTATGTTCCAAAGAAAATAAGATTAATTCTTTATTATACAACTATTAAAATATTTATTAAATGATTTCTATAGAGTTAGAAATACAAATACTTTACTATGCAAGTCATAATGAGATTTTGTTTATAGATTTAGTTTTATTGTTCTAATTACTTGAAAATTGTATGGTTGCGGATTTCAGTTGTGGTTTAATCTTTGCTATCTCTTCTCTGCAACTTTTGCAATTCTTACCCTCCTAACCCAGCCCATGCTTTCTGTCTTTGCCGAGGAAATGCCCTGTCAGAGTGTTCTAAATGAGAAATTTACATTTTGAACCACGAGTGTGTCCATAAGATGTACGATCCATCAAGGTGCAGATGCTGTACAAATGTCTGGGAATATCTGACCTTCCTCTGGGAATATCAAGCTCTCAAGTGAACACTTTCCTTGCCTTTTCAGTTACACAAGACACAAAAGTTGGAAAACTAATGTAATAAATATATAAAAAGATAATTGTTTATATTGTAAAGATTATTTTTGTATGTGATAGCTTCCTTAAAGGGACACTATAGTCATCAAAACAACTTTAGCGTAATTAAGCTGTTTTAGTGTATAGATCACGCCCCTGCAGTCTCACTGATCAATTCTCTGTAATTTAGGAATTAAATAACTTTTATTTCTGTTTATGCAGTCTTTGCCACAACCCCCCTGGTTGCGACTGACACTGCCTGCATTTAATTTTCATTCACAGGTTAACTAGCTTTAGAAGTTTTTATCTTCTGCTCTGTAAATTGAACTTGTTCACACACATTTCCTGCAGGTTCTACAGGGCTATTAACAAAGCAGGAGAGAATAAATTCTAAATGAAACAGACTATGCATTAAATTAAGTTTAACATTAGGAAGTATTTAAGAAGTATCTTCATAAGAAGTATTTAAGAAGGCTGTGCAAGTCACATGCAGTGAGGTGTGGCTTGGGCTGTATAAAGAAAGTGATTTGACTCCTAAATGGCATAGAATTGAACAGTGAGACTGCAGGGGTATGATATACACACCAAAGTTGCTTCATTAAGCTAAAATGGGTTTGGTGCCAATAGTATCTCTTTAAGTTCATATTTACTTACCAATATCACCTGTATGTATAACGTTTCAACGTTTCAATAAGTAAGCCTGTTGTGTGGAGTGACTGGTTGCTATTGTACTTCTGTTGAAATCAAACTTTCCAATGAAAGTACTCCTCTCTTTACAACTACAGACAAAAAAACAAAACAGGGAAATTAGATCTTCATTGATGACAATACAGACTGAGCCTATTGAGTAGGTACAAAAAAAAACAAAAAAAAAACATGTAACACATGAAAATTTATACATACATAAGGTGGAGCTGGTGAGATTGATAAATATTACATCTATAAGAAAAAGCATAAAGACAAACAGAAATAGTAAAATATTGCCTGTACAAGTGATAGTAAAAATATATATGGTGTCACTCACAAAAGTAGAGCCAAAGTCATGTGGCTCGCATGTGTAGTGCAGCTGGCCCATTACCAGGATGCCCCCATCCTTCTTCCTCTTTTGAACACTTTTGAGTAGGGAATATTCAGGGTACTTTTCCAGAGTTCCTCCAGTCCTGGTGCCTTATTGTGGCAATAATGGTTGGTAGCTTTATGTGATATCCACAAAATGCCTTTATTAAGAACAAAATAAAACATAAGTATACTTGCAAAGAAATATTAAAAAGTCAATGTTAAAAGTTCTGGCTATTTGCCAAATAATCCCAAGACGCGTTTCACCCTCTTCACATTGCTTCCTCATTCGGTGTCTAGTCTCTCAGTAATTTGTCCTTCTTTTATATGCCCGCCGGTGTCGTTCTTCCAGTTCAGTGTTTGGTGTGTGGAACGCATTATGTGTTCCATTTTCTACTGACCAAAAGTCGCCTAACCACTTGGAAGTCCCATTAGCAGCTGTCTGGTAGACAGCCACTAAAGGTGGAGTTAACTCTCAATGACAATTTTTGCAGTTTAGCAAAAACTGCAATAATTACCATTGTGGGGTTAAGGGACCAGGGATACTGCACCTAGACCACTTCAATGAGCTGAGGTGGTCTGGATGCCTATAGTGTCCCTTTAAACAATGAGAGAAGGGAGAACATATCTGAGGCACTCTAACAGTCGTTATAGTGGATACAGCATTTCTTTAATTCAAGTAATGTTTTATAAAGTAATGTCCCTATGTATTGCCTACAGCACGTACCTTCTTTTGATACTTTATTTTCTCTGGCATTACTTTGCTTTTCCATTATTTTTCACATATTTTATCAACTAAACGAAAACAACATGAAACTACTTCATATATACTCGTTATTTTATTCATGTTTTAAAATGATCCATTAGAAACATTCTAATGGAAATGAATGTATAGAGTGAAATTATTTCCAACACTACACAGTAAATTGCATGGTTGTAACAAAGAAGGCATTCTGTTCACAGTTAAAGTACACAGTATAGTGGGCAGAAAATAACATAATCAAAAGCTACCTTTCACTTCGTACTGGGTGGTAAATAATGGATTATTTTCACATGAACTTTCTTCCCACAGTGTCTTATTATTTTAGTTCTTAACATCATCTCTTCTGCAGTTATACACGATCTAATAGAAACAAAAATTCCACAATGTACTATTCAACAAGCTGATATATTAATGAATTATTTGCAGCTGCAATTTAGGTGACTCACAGTCCAGATCACAGAATGTTCGTGCACGTGGGGGAGCAATTTGATGAAAAATTAAAGGCCAGCCGATCACAAAGTGTTTGGTGGAGTTAAATTAAGTAATTCTATAGCAGTATGATGATCCCGCAGGCTTGAAGGATTAAACTCCCACTTGCATCTTAATACATTCAGAAGTAAAAAAAATAAAAATTAAAAACAATGCTTTAATCGTTGAGTGAGTATGTTAGCCATGAGTTATGAGTTCTTTTTTTCAAGGTGTATTATTAATTCTTTATCCAACATTCTGTTTTCAAAACAGTGAAGGCTTTAAGTGTACACAAGAATGTTGAAGGGTTTTTGGAACTCTTTTTGCCAAATTGTCACAATTGTTTATTGCTATTGCATATAGAGACCAGGCATAGGCAACCTTCGGCACTCCAGATCTTTTGGACTACACCTCCCATGATGCTTTACCAGCATTATTGGTGTAAGACCATTATGGGGGATGTAGTCCACAACATCTGGAGTGCCGAAGGTTGCCTATCCCTGTACTAGACTACTTGTATTATAGCCTCTGTAGATATTATTAAGTTAATACCTCCTTTCCCATGGCTTACCCTTGTTTGGTATTTGGTCAGAAGCACCACCTATTCATCAAGACCATGCACAGTTGCATACCCTTTACCCGGCACTGGCTAGCATTTGCCCTACTTTGGTTAGATGGGGAAATCATTTGCTCTGCTTGCATGACAGTTAGTCAGGACCTGGTGCCCTTAAGAAGAAAGTAAATGTAAAAAGCTGTCTTCACATAAATATATAGGGTGAGGTAGAGACAAAAAATGCCTACAAAATTCAAAGTATAAACAAAGAAAATTAGACCTGTGCTGCAGATGCTCCACACTGAAGTCCCAACAGTTTATATACAACCAAAAAGTTAAAGCATCAAATGTTTCGGGCAGCAGCCCTTTCTCAATGCTAATGGACATTAGCATTGAGAAAGGGCTGCTGCCCGAAACGTTTGCTGCTTTAACTTTGTCCTCAAATAAATTGTGGTAGCACCTGGGTGTGCACACCTATACTGGATGTGCAGGACTCGTGTTTGTTTTTTGGTTGTCTTCACATAAAAGTAGAATGAGAAATTGCACAGACATAAATCAAATACACCCTGCAGAATTTTATATAAGGAAGAAAGAGAGCACTTGCAAAGGCTGCAGGCAAGAAATCTGCAGCTTTTGCAAGCAGTTTTAGATACAGGCTTTGCCAGTTGTATGGGTATCTCTGTAGTCTACTCAGCTTTGTGTATTATGCCCAGATCTGTGTATTATATTTCTATTTTTTCTCATTTCTATTTCTATTTTTTCTCAGTTCTATTTGTAGTATTGTTATCTCTTTATTGTACTGCACTCTATGTATTCTATAGATATATTTATGTTTTGCCAATCTTGTTATATTGGATGAGCATCTCTGTATTATGCACAGCTCTCTGTATAGTATAGGAGGAACAAAATTCTGGAGGAGGAGTCATCTTAAAACTTCACCGCCGCCACTGGACTGTAGTGTATTCTACCTGTAAGCGAGAAGAAGTAGAGAGGCGTTACGGTAGGGAAGGTAGGCACACAACAAATATGAACAGATATGATAGACAACCAGGCAGACAGATAGAAGACACAAGGGCAATATGGGCATTAAACACAAGAAAAGTAAAGGACTGCATAGGAAGAAAGTGTGCATAGAAACATATATTAAGTAAGGGGGATATGGGGAGTGGTACAAAAGTGGATTATGGACATTATGACTTCTCCCAAGGACCAACTGTGCACTTTGAAGCTCATAATAAGCATCTCTAAGTTTGCCTTTCCCATGTTGTCTACATTTCATGTTTAGATTTGTTTTCTTTAGGAAGAAATTAATCTGGTATGCCACAGTAAGTTATGGTAAACGTTCGCTATCCCTATAACTAGTCTCCTACTTGCATGCACACAATCACACATTTGTTGTTCTGTTAAGTACTCTGGCAATGTAATTGAGAAATGCTGCTTAGATCTCATCATGGGCAGTCATTTAGTTTACATATTGAATGAAAAAAATCCCTTCTTGGGGTTGTTCCACCTTTACTGTAAGATATATATTTCATAATAAACTATTTAAAAGGTTATTAAGTGTCATACTTTTAGTGCAGATATACCATCTGCCCTGTTAATATTACTGCTTGACGTTTGCTCAGGGATAACATTTCTGTTCGAGTTTTGCAATAAGAGGAATTTATAGAAAATCCTCTATTACTTGCTGCACGTCTTGGTATTAAACTGTAATATTACATTTGTACCAAAGATTGAAACATTATTTGTTTTCCACTTACAATTATTTCATATCCAAGAACCAGACCAATCATGTCAATCAATTAATCTCATGTTTAGGATTAGAGAAGATATTTAGAAAGCTCTCATGCAGATCTCCTGAAAAGCAAGGATTATGGTTGTCATGCACATTGTGAGACATAGAGGATAAAGGGACATTGTAGGCACACAGACCACTTCAGCTCATTAAAGTGGTCTGGGTGCCAACTCCCATAAACCTTAATCCTAGAGTGGTAATTATTGTTGTTTTTGTAAACTGCAATAATTACCTGCTAGGGTTAACTCCTCCTCTAGTGGCTGTCTACCAGAGGGGCTTCTTAGACAACTTTTGGTCATCTAAACGACGCTGAAAGTCCTCACACTATGCATGAGGACCTCCAGCTTCACCGGAATCCCCATAGGAAAGCATTATTCAATCCTAATGCGAGCATGGCCATTGGAGGAGCGTGGATGGAGCTGAGCCAGTGCCGAGGGACATTGACGCTGGACCCAGGTAAAAGACTGAAGGGGTTATTAAGCCCTTCAGCACCGCGGGAGGGGGCCTTGACAGAGAGGAAAGCTATAGTGCCAGGAAACAAAAGTTTCCCTTTAAAGGGAATCTATCAGCTAATAACATTTTGATATCTGTGAATCTGGCAATACCAAAACATAAGTAGGGGGCTTGATTTTCTTTGAAAAGTTGTATAAATAAAACAAACAATTATGTCGCTGACCTGCAGCTTTGAATTTTTTTTGTTTCCTACTGTACAGCACTGTGAAATATGTTGGCGCTATATAAATAATTGTAATTGTAATTAAGGCTTGTAATGCAAATTAATTCCTTCCACCATGTTCCCATTTTAACGTAGGGGTCAACCTGTTGTAGATCTAAATCTACAATGATGCTTTGCCAGACATTTGCTTTTTATTGAATCCCTGGTGTATTGCAACAAGTGGTTGCCAAAGAGTTGTCGTTAAATGAGTCAAAGACCAGGGGTTTCAACCTAAAATATTTTTGATAGCACATTAAGCCCGCCCAGTCTCCTCCAAATCCTCCATATTCATAAATGATGTTATAGATGAAAAAGCAGATACTCCTACACATGTTCACAATCACAAGATCACACAAATACACAGTCACACATATACACACTGAAGCACTCACAGATATACCCAAACTGTTTTGCATACTCACAGATACGCACACTGGTACACACATACACAAAATATTACACACTTAAACACCAACAGATATACACAAACTATTAGACATACTCACAGATACCCACCCATGCATATTGTTACACTTATGCACACAATCTGGTGGTTCGGTCTACTGCTCTACACCAACACCAGATGCAGGCAGTGTGGGTTTCTCTCATGAGCTGTGGCTTTCAGATTGTTGCTATGGTAACCCAGGATAATACTGAGCAGCCAGAGCCCATGAAAACTATGCCAGTGGACTGCTTCCAGTGGAGGTGCTCTCTTCCTTCCTCCTTCCCATTTTTGGCATTTTGCCATTCATACTGTCTTAAATCTCTTGTTCTGATCAGGCACAAAACAGGGCAGGGGACTTGGGCTAACAGTATTAAATGACAACCTTTAGACCCAGGGCTCTTTCGGGGGTCAAATCGGAGTTAGAGTACGGGGCAAAACCCCCATCCATGCCCTTGGCATGCCATTTTAATTTTCTGTGCAAAACTGGACAAGGTGTACTGTGCCAAACTCATTCAAGACAAGCCACTATGGATAAACAAGACTAGTCTTCAAGAACCTCATGCTTTGAAGCTCATTATGCCTCCCTTGTGTGGCTTGGCAAGACCAGAAATATGGTTTAGGTATACAGCCAGTGCTTTTTGCCACTGTGGCCTCATTTTCAAAGAAGAAATAGTGTTAAACGTCCAAAGTCCAAAGTTGCACATTCAGATAAAAATCTTTAGACTTGGGCACACTTAACATTTTCAATGTCAGGGTAAAATAAATGCCACAGAACAGGGCAAAAAAGAAATTTGAGACACAAAAATTGTCACACAAGTGCAATAAAATAAAAAGTGTCAATACTAGGCTGGGAGTGATAACAATTCTAAAACTTATCAAAGGACAAGATGTGTAGATGTAGGTACCCTTGAAGGGTGGTGCTGCAAAAGAACTTGCATCTAGGGTTGTGTATGGCAAGAAAATTTGGTTCAGTCAAACCATTTTTCCCCAAAACAGAACATTTCTTAATTTAATACTGTGTATTGCCCCATTTAGCATCAATGACAGCGTACAGTCTTTTGTAATAGTTGTCTATGAGGCCCCTAATTCTTGCAGATGGTATAGCTGCACATTCGTCTTGGCAAAATGCCTTAAGGTCATGCAAAGTCTTTGGTAATCTTGCACGTTAGAGGGGACTTTAAGATCTCCCCATAGTGGCTCGATGATATTAAGGTCAAGAGACTGTGATGGCTACTCCAGAACCTTCACCATTTTCTGCTGTAGCCACTGGGGGGTCAACTTGGCCTTGTACTTGGGGTCATTGTCATGCTGGAAAGTCCATAAGCATATTAAGAGCAGCCTTTGTGCAGAAGAATGCAAATTGCCTGCCTGTATTTTCTGAAAACATGCTTCATTCATCTAGCCATCAATTTTAACAAGATTTCCTTTTGAGCTCAGACCACCCCAAAACATCAGTGAGCCACCACCATGCTTCACAGTGGGGATGGTAGGCCTTGTTGAACACTCTCGAAACATAGTGCTTGTGGTTGTGACCATAAAGCTCTATTTTGGTCTTGTCATTCCAAATTACAGTGTGCCAGAAGCTGTGAGGCATGACCAGGTGTTGTCAGGCATATTGTAACTGGGATTTTTAGTGGCATTGGAGCAGTAAAGACTTCTTTCTGGCAACTCGACAATGCAGCTAATTTTTGTTCAGGTTTTGTCGTATTGTGCTCCTTGAAACAACCACACTGTCTTTTTCCAGAGCAGCCTGTATTTTTCTTGAGGTTACCTGTGGGTTTTTCTTTATAACCTGAATAATTCTTCTGGCAGTTTTGGATGAAATCTTTCTTTGTCTACCTGAACATGGCTTGGTATCAAGAGATAATGTCCACTTCTTAATTAGTAATTGAACAGTACTGACTGGCATTTTCAAGGCTTTGGATATATTTTGTTATACTTTTCCATCTTTTTAAAGTTCAATTACCTTGTTACGCAGGTCTTTTGACAGTTCTTTTCTGCTCCCCATAGCTCAGTATCTAGCCTTCTCAGTGCATCCACGTGAGAGCTAACAAACTCATTGACTATTTATACACATAGAAACATAGAATGTGACAGCAGAAAATAACCATTCGGCTCCTCTAGTCTGCCTAATTTTCTAAATACTTTCATTAGTCCCTGGCCTTATCTTATAGGTAGGATAGCCATGTGCCTATCCCACGCATGCATAAACTCCTTCACTGTGTTAACCTCTACCTTTTCAGCTTGAAGTCTGTCCAATGCATCCACTACCCTCTCAGTAAAGTAATACTTCCTGATATTATTTTAAACCTTTGCCCCTCTAATTTAAGACTATGTCCTCTTCTTGTCTTAGTTTTTCATCTTTAAATATAGTCTCCTCCTTTACTGTGTTGATTCCCTTTATGCATATAAATGTTTCTATCATATCCCCCTTGTCTCGTCTTTCCTAAAAGCTATACATGTTAAGATCCTATAACCTTTCCTTGTAAGTTTTATACTGTAATCCATGAACCGGTTTAGTAGCCCTTCTCTGAACTCTCTCCAAAGTATCAATATCCTTCTGGAGATTCGGTCTCCAGTACGCAGACACTATTTGCAATTTAAAAAACCACAGGTGTAGGGAATTAACCTTTAAGTGCCATGTTAGCCTGTGTGTGTCACCTTGTGTGTCTGTAA